CATTGTGCGTTGTAATTACGCCGTGGCTATCCTTACGGAGACGTAAGAACGTTCATTTTTTCTATACTTACGGATCATATCCCATCATGCAAAGCGCCGCGGACAAGTGCAGCCCCAACATGTTTACATCCGCGCATGCACAGGCACTTGGACCGTTTCAATAATAAAATGATGGTTAATAAATACAACTTGTCAGTAGCCTACTACTACAGTACCAGCAATAGTCTTAATGTTTGATTTGACCTAATAACTTCACTTCAACACCGTTCAATACACCGCTGCAACACATAGCCCGCACGCCATTGTGCATGCACAGACACAGTAGGTTAGAACCTACCGTGTAACTCTAACCTACTGTGTATCTGTGCATGCACAATGGCGTGCGGGCTATGTGTTGCAGCGGTGTATTGAACGGTGTTGAAGTGAAGTTATTAGGTCAAATCAAACATTAAGACTATTGCTGGTACTGTAGTAGTAGGCTACTGACAAGTTGTATTTATTATTATTAACCATCATTTTATTATTGAAACGGTCCAAGTGCCTGTGGTCATACCGTTAGAAATGCGCGAATGTACGGCACAATTATTTCAGACGGCTTTTAACTATTAAAAAAAAACAGAAGTACCAACGGAGTACAATTTACAAGATGAGTTTATTTACGTTTCTTCGTCTCGTGTTTGTTTATAACAAGGGTTTAGACTCCCGGCGCTGCACAGAACAGTGTCTAACAAGGAACCTCAAGGTAGCTTAATCCGTGGTGCCACCCTGACACTGTCGGCAACGATGAGAGCGGGTTCTGTACACACGCACACACACACACAAACACACTCAGTCATTCGTGCGTGCGCTCCTGTGTCGCATATATAGCCTGGCTGATAGCAGCACACACGGGCCATGTACCCTCGTCGCACGTACGAAGTAAAAACACGTTTAAAATCTCGACAGTAGTGAGGATGTATGCGTCCTGGAACATGGCCGCGCACTAGGCTCAGCGCAGAATGCAGACAATTCAAACCTACTGCTAGTAATGTTGCTGGTGGTATCCATCTTTGACAATGCTTCATCCATTTCCTTCTCTGTTGCTAGTGCAAGACACATAATAATACAAAGATGCACAACTTAACCGAGAGTGGCATCAAGTTGCCTAATAGCACGTCCCTATTACTTTTACAAGCCCGACTAGTCCATACACAAACTGGCTTTCACGTTTTCGCACACAAGAGTAAACGGCTAACACGGAGCTCTATGTTAAAACCTCGTCTCCAGGGGCCTCTGTCCTTGTCGTTGTCTCTTCCTGGTTGCAGGCATTTTCCTATTACCTACTATCTCACTATTGATTACTGCATCTCTTACGCTCACAATCATATTCCTGCTTACTATCACTCTCCTCCTAATCTCGCACCTGCCCACCGCCTCTCTTACGATTCCTCATGATCATTGTCAATTTTCCCGCATCTTTCATTCCCCCTGCCTCACCTGTGCTACTCTGTATCCTTTCTAATCCTAGCTGTCCCTCCCCCCTTCCTGCAGCTTTTCTGGCTGCAAACTCCCATGCACAAATAAACGGTATCTCACTCCCTAAAACAGTGCTGCAACAGTCACTAGCGTCATGGAATCATAACAGGACCTCATATACATCGAGGAACCGGTTAGGCAACATGATCACTGAGGGGCCCTCATGTCCATCACACACATCACCTCATGCACATCTTGCCATTCCCGACATGGTAACACATATACATGGTACATGGTTTACATATAAAAAACGGGCGATTTCTTTAATATAAAAACGTTAACACATTCCTTTTGCATGGGACTCTCGTCCGTGAGTGTAACTTATTGGCAGCGTGGCCCTCTGGTGGCCACACTTCGTAATTACATGCTGGTGTAAAATATAGAACGTCGGTGTGCACAGCAACATCGCCGGATCCCCTGTAAAGATTTAGGGTGCCCTATTATTTGCCGCGCCCTCTGTAGAAACAACAGAGAAGTGCCACCACAACTGCTTGAAGTATGCATGGCTATCGCTGCAGAACTATGCCAAATTATTGTGCAGATTGAGAGCTGCACTTACTGAATTCGAATGCTGGCCTCATGTCACCCTAGCCAGCGGGATGTTCAATCATTCTATGCTCTGCTTCTAAGTGATGCATCATATTATGTGAGAGCAGTCGATGATGTCTGAACATCTTCCCCATCCTCCCCATGGCACACGCCGCATCCTGGAAGCATGGGGATGACTTCTGAACATCTTCCCCATCCTCCCCATGGCACACGCCGCATCCACAGACGTGTGGCTGCTTATCCAATCATCGTCATCTCCTCAGCTTGCCAGCCTTCGTCGATGCGCTGTTGACGCTCCCCTCAGCAGACGACATGCTCACGTGTCGCTGGAGTGGTTCACTGCAGCCTTCACACTGAGCTAGGCATTCGCTACGTCACCAATCATCTACACACGATTTCATTGACAATATTCCATTTGATCGGCACTGCCAGTGTGCGGCAGGGCCAGCCCGTCGGCGGAGTTCACCCGCTCGCGTCATCAATATTCCACGCATTCGTTCAGCGAATACCGCAGTGATTGGACTGACACCACTGAGACGAGTTGTCCGCTTCTTCTTAGCACTTACACGTGCGTGCACTGATACCCCAATGGCCTGACGTTAAGTGTGGGGTGCGGCCAACGGACTACAGAACAGGTAACAAACATATTTACAGAACTTGGTAAAAATTGCTATTATTTACACTAGTCCCCACTACCACCACCACCACGGCCTGGGAGCTGAGCCGACCTGATGCCCTGCTTACCTCCGACCTTCACGCGACCTGCGTCAAGATCAAACAAATGCCCATTTACATAAACACTGTTTTAACAGTGGCAAAAATTTGGAGCACCATTCATGCAGGGGGTGCTACCATGCAACCCGATCTTCTTGATACACAAATCTCAAGAATGCATCCTAGAACCTCTGCCGAGAGCACTCAGTGCCCCCTAGTGGCAAACTTTAAAAAAAGCAGATGTTCCTGCCCAGCTCCTCAGGCCATCACAACAGCTTGTAAAAATGCTTTGGATCTTTCGTTGGCGCCCATGAGCGCATCATGCCGTCCACAGCGGGGCGCCACCAGTCATAAATACCAAATAAATACGATATCAAAAGAGTCTCATCAAAAATGCATTTTCATTTTTGGTCGCTTGCTGCTTGGCTGTCGCACAGTGCAATCCTTGGTCCTTAATGGTCCTGTGGCAGTGAACATTGTCACACGGTGGGCCAGACTCTGAGTGATGCTGTCCAGTTCTCCTCCTAGCTGACTGGCATTTTATTCCCATACAATGGGGGACGGGGGTAGTTCTGACGCATGTGCAACTGTAGAGCTGTAAGAGAGATGCAAGCAAAACACTCGTCACTACATAAATCAAGAATTAAATTGTAGTTGAAAAATTCATATATATCCTAAGTTAAAAATCCCAATGTTTTCGACGCACAACGACGAAAGATTGACGGTCTCACATTTTAGCAACTCTTCAAACTATTTCATTTTCGCTCAGATACACCCATTCGAAAGACCGTCGCAAAAGTGCGCAGTTGACCTGTAAAACTTTTATTAATTATTTAACATACACTGAACTTCAAAATCTTTTGAAAAAAGTGGTGAATAAATTTTTTCCCATCTTATTGTCCATCTTAAATTTAAAACTCGAGTAATACTGAATTGCGGACAAACACTGGTTACTGTAATAAATTAAAATTAATTAATTGAACAGCACTCACTTTATTTCATAACACTAAGTCCTTGACATTACCCGACACATGGTAACACATATACCCATGGTAAAAATGTTTAGACATATACAAAAAACGCTGGTCGATTTCTTTAATCAAGACTAGAAAAACTTAACCGACTATGTTTCTCTTTTCGTATAAAGAAATAATCAAAAACCTCGAACCAGAAATAGTAAAAAAAATATTGAACAGCAAAAATGAGGAACAAATTAATAATGTTGTTGCGAACACGCCATTCCTGATATATTAACACATATGGATATGTAAAATATCAGTAAACGTTCTTGGTGTGCAGGAGCAGCATACATCTATGTCACTGAGTGTCATCCCCTGTATGACATGATTATAAGGCGTGCCTAATTCAATATTTGCTGTCAATGGTGTGAGGCCCGTGCGCCCTTTAAGTAAGTAAAAAAATGCAAACCAGCAGAAGTGCTCACCCAAAATTTGGTAATGAACTAATGATAGTTATACAATGTCTACTGCAGGCTGGGACAACATCGAAAATATTCCAATTTATGTGGCAGGGTAGTTCAAACTGCAACTACCTAAGATATTTCGAAGGCTTAGGCTAAACCTCGATTCACCGCGCCTTAATTAGTTCCAGCGGCAGATGTTCTCAACTTTCACTTCTTATGTCTCAATCTGACTTCTATAAGACTGATGCATCATGATTATGTAGAGGCAGTCGATGATGTCTGAACATCTCCCGCTCCTCCTCAGATTGAGCAATCGCGCCTCAGCAAATTGTCCTGGAAGCAAGGATGACTCTGAACATCTCCACCTCCCATTTGCAATCGGACTGCATCCTGGAAGCATGGGATGGATCTGAACATCTTCCCCATCCTCCTCTGTCTCCTCATGGGCAACAAGATCCCATCCGCTTCCTTTACTAATTCGGTTAATTAGGCCATTGGGTTATTTACCAGGCAAATTCTTGACAGATAAAATATTCATTCAAATACCACCAAATCAATAATAAATCATCTGTATATTAAAGGTGTTCATAAATAAAACAGTGTCTATTTCTCAATTGTTATAACCAATAGCTCCAGTTATCTCCAAAGGGAATTAAATCATTCAATATATACAATTACATAATATAATAAGTAATTCTTCTACAAGTGTCCATAAATAAGTGCTATCCCTTGGTTTTAGCAATGACGCACCTTATCATAGGAGAGCATCCTAGAGATAGGTCATTTCGAGATTTCAAAAATATGAAACATCATTCACTCCAATATCTCCTTCTGGAGTACATCAAAATATAAACCAATGCAACATATACGCTGCATTCTATGTAAGCAGGGATACTTCTGAACATTTCTCTTCTATCTCTCCCCTATACCTCCCCACAACAACACCTAAACAAAAAAGATTTTAACGGCAAATATTACCACCAGACGTGTCATTCTGCTACATAATACTAATCCAATTCGCTTCAGTTCATCAATTGTTCTACTTACAGTTGAACCTCTGATATTCCCCCACCTTCCGTCGATGCGGCTGTTGTACGCTCCGCCTCAGCAACTCGACATCATGAAAAAAAAAATAGAATTAAAGTGTCGCTCTAAAGTATGAAGTGTTTACAATTGCATCCTTTCAAATAATCACAATATAATAAATATATCAAAATATATGAAAAATAAATTTTTATATGGACTCTCATATTCGAGCCTCAAATCAGTGCCCCATTCACACGTCACCGAATTGCATCCTTACATCCGATTCATTGAACCATATTACCGAATTTTGAATCGTGATTATCCAGGCTGCCAGTGTGCGCAGGCCCAGCCCTCAGCGTTATTCACGCCGCATTTGAATAAGCCTTACCCGAATCCGGCTTTCCCCGATCGAATGCCTCCAAGATCTCTCGTGTCAAGGAGCTAAAAAGTACTGATGACCATCTGAACACTTGCGCAAAAACGATCTGGAAAAACCGGCTCGATTCAGCGAATTACCAGCAGTATCTGGCTTCTGACACCTCCAAAAACAACGGAAAAATCGAAGTACTCAAATTTGTGGGCGACGCATTCTTCTTACCAACTGTCACACAATATCCTGCAAACAGTCTACCACCCCCAATGCTCTTGAAATCCTCTCAACTGTGGGTGGCGGACAATCCGCGAGCTACCAGGAACAGAGTTAAGCAAACATATAATAAACAGGAACTTGTAAATATTAATTTCATATTCACAATTTACCATCTAAGTCCCCACACCACGCAGCACCACGCCTGAGAGCTGACCGACTTTGATCCTGGGGCTCTTTCACATCTGTATTCTACGACCATTAGTATTCACAACAATTTAAACAAAAGCACAAGCAACTATGCTTACAGATCAAACAAAATAACTCTAGCATCTTACAATATAACACACTCTGAAAAGTTTAATGAACATGGCATAAAATTTCGAACACTCTATATTCGATATTGCATAGGGTAACACAACCTTCACAACCGATCTTCTTGATCACCACAAATCATCAACATGCATCCTATATATCCTCTAGCGAGCTAAGACAGTTCATAAATTAAGCCTTTCTCACACTAATTCGGCGACTAAGCTGTAAAAAAAGCAGCATTTCCGAACAATTCAGATCTGCCTCAGGCGCCCATCACAATCAAAGCTTGTAAAACTTTGGATTCTTTCGATTGTGAGCAGCCATACGCATTCATGCCGTCCACAGCGGGGCGCCACCAGTACATAAATACCAAAAAATCGACTATCAAAAGACACTTGCTACCCTCCATTCAAAAAATTTGCATTCTATATTTCATTTTTCGGCACGTCGCCCTTGTTATGCTGCTTTTGCTACCCTGAACTCTAAAACTGAGCTAGCAACTCCTGTGCATCCTTTTTAAATCCGGTCCTGTGCAGTGAACACTTGTCACCAAAATCGTGCGGCCAGACTCTGAGTGATGCTGTCTCAGATCTGCCTGTTAGCCCATGCATTTCTGAGCACTCTAAAATTCAAACCAGATTAACAATGGGACGGGTGTATTTCTGACGCATGTGCAACTGTATAGCTGTAAGAGAGATTGGCAAGCAAAACACTCGTCCACTACATTAAAGATAAATCAAGATTAAATTGTATTAAAAATTCATAATATTAATACCTAAGATTATAAACCAATGTTTTCGACGCATACACGACGAAAGATTGACGGGTCTCATTCACATTTTAGACAATCATCTCAACTATTTTCATTTTCGCTCCAGATACCACCGAACTATAGTATTATGAGCGGCTGCAACTACTCTGAAACTCTTGAAGCAGCAGAATGATGGTTAATGCATAGAGCACACCGTTGCCACTGTGCAGTTGCTGATAACTGTTTCACGCTTCGCATCTGCAACGAATTACAGTGCCATTACAGACAGCTGTCTGCAGTAGACTGCACCTCACGCACACCCAACTCACCACATAATTAACTAAATACTGTCATCAACAAGTTACACTACTGTGAGCTCATTTAATAATGAATGTGGGCTAGTCTACGACTAACATTTACTGCGTCATTAACGATTTAACACTTAGCTCCAATTTTCTGTTAATCGACAATAAACTTCCAGTTACAAACAATCACCTTTTAATATATAATTTTTATTTATACCGTATTTAAAATAAGCAATTCGTACTTTATTTTTAATTCCCAATCGGTAACTAACATTGTCATTATATCCACATGCTCACGTCCGCCATCATCAGATACACACTCACCGAGCCATACCCGACGCCTCACGTCCATCACTCTCTCCACTCAACCTCCGTTACTCCCCTCTCCCCGAAGTTTTGCTTTCAATGCGAGAACGTCACACCGTTACTTGGCTGAGGGTGGTTTAGTCTGTGTAGCCAAACTTCAAAGTCACGTTACGTCATACACGCACACACGTGATCTGCTTGTACGCTGCGTCGTGCTGCCATCTACCGGCGGTGAACCGCGGCTCGCATGCAAACACTGACAAAGGTTCAGTAGCCGGCCAGGGTTAGTATTTATAGCTTTGTACGCGCGGAATAAACGCCAGCAGCAGACAGCTGGCTGTGGCCGGTCACTCAACCAGCATTTAACAGTATGTTGACTTATCACACAGCTGCTATACTAGGCAGGAAGGACAGTCAACTGTCAGCTAGGGCTGTGCATGTAGAGCAGGCACTGGTCAGTGTCCACAAAGAGTCTGCTGCATATACACATGCGCTACGGTCAGCACATGTGTTGAGTCAAAGACCGTATACAGGGTCTTTGGTTGAGTGCACGTGTTCGTGAGTGCCGCGGTGGGGGACTCTCAGTTGTGATCTGGCATATACTAGTACTGGTGTACTGGCTAGCACATCAACTGTGCTTAGTGTATTAGTGTGAGCATGTATGTGCGTGCATGCGTGTGTGTGCGTGCATGCGTGCGTGTTGTGGTCTGTGTGTGTGTGTGTGTGTGTGTGTGTGTGTGTGTGCGTGCGTGCGTGCGTGTTGTGGTCTGTGTGTGTGCGTGCATGCATGCGTGTTGTGGTCAGTGTGTGTGTGTGTGCGTGCATGCGTGCGTGCATGCATGCATGCATGCATGCGTGTTGTGGTCAGTGTGTGTGTGTGTGTGCGTGCGTCGATGTGCGTGGTGATGGGTCACATCGTTATACTAGTAGTGGTCACTACCACATGCCAGCGCCCACTAGGACTAGTGCATGTGTTTACCGTTGGTTCGGTAGTGTGTGTGTGTGCGGTGTGGAGTAGGGTGTTGTAGTTGCAGAGTGGGTATACTAGGCCCAGCACAGTCTCCTGTCTCTGTTTACTACCAAGTGTAAACAAACCCTTGCCTTCTGTTATCAGGGTGCGATGACCAGAAATCATGGCCACCTGTGAACACTCCAGATATATTTTTAGCATCTAGGCTTTGTGTTGCTACCAGTTCATCTAGCTCCGTCCTGCCACTACCATGAATAGACTCCTACTTAACCGAACGAGAGCAGGTTTTGGGGATTCAAGGAAAATCAGGAGTGGAGTCACTTCTTGCTGGTAAAGTTCACGAGGGTGTTGGCTCGGTTTTCCCCCCTTTAGTGGCTTTATTGCGCAACTACGCTCAGCATTGCTACGGCAACAACCAGCGTAAGCGCTTACAGAGGAAATCCCACCCAGCTGTACACGTAAGCATGAAAGTCTCCTGCGAAGGTTCAAGCTACTACTGCAGCAGTATGTATGGAGAGCAGAGCACACTGCTGCACGAAGGGTCGTTGTCGTATCAGGTACTACATATATGTACCCGAGGTAGTTTTAGATTGTTTAGTATTATGTTTATTTTTTATATGAGGTATGTTTAAGGTTAGTGTTAGGGTTATGGTTAGGGTACACTTCTGTAGTACAAGTCTGGTACACTTTGTGTATACATATATGTACCTCGGGTACATATATGTAGTACCTGATACGACAACGACCCCTTTTATATATTATAGAGTCCTGATACCACTATATAGTGGTTTGACAGTGGGAGGCAGATATTATGTAGGTTGGTGGTGGGCAATGGTTTAGGATGGGGGGGGGGGTCCTGGGTAGGTGGGTAGGTAGGCAGATACGTGAGTGATGAGGTATGTAGTAGTGCAGGCAAGTAGACAAAGAGTAGATACCAAGTAGGAAGGTAGACGCAGTATTACTCGCCTAAGTAGGTGGCTAGATCCAGATAAAGATAGTCAGATTGTTTACCTGCGAACATTTGACACCGTACCTATTCCCAAGAACGCAGTCACCTGCGTCCGCGCACAGCGCCACCTACCTTTAACCTGCTGCACGGAGCTGATACCATCCTCAAAGCTGTCGTCAAACGTTGCCGTTGCAACGGGCTCAAAGTCGCCCGTATATTGCCGACCGGCGTTGGTGTTGTAGCAGCACTGGCACATGCACGAGTGGTAACGCAGCCGACCCTCGTCCAGGTACGGGTGCGCCAATGCATCGATGCATGTGATCCTCTTCTTCTGCAATGCAGCGACGTCATAGCATTACCACGGTGACCACAGATAGGTACGCAATGTTCGTGTATCAGTGGTATGGCAGTAATAATTAACAGATAGGTGCGCAATGTCAGTGTATCACAGCGTTACCATGGTGACCACAGATAGGTGCACAATGTCAGTGTATCACAGCTCAGTGTATCACAGCGTTACCATGGTGAATCCACAGATAGTGACACAATGTCAGTGTATCACAGCTTCAGTGTATCACAGCATTACCATGTGACCACAGATAGGTGCGCAATGTCAGTATCAACAAGCGTACGGCATGGTGACCACAGATAGGTGCGCAATGTCAGTATCACAGCGTTACCATGGTGACCACAGATAGGTGCGCAATGTCAGTATCACAGCTTCAGCGTATCACAGTGTTACCATGGTGTCAGTGTATAACAGCGTTACTGTGGTGACTATAGACAGTTATGCAATGTCTGTGGGCACAGCATTATTTAAAGTTGCAACAAATGGGTGCACAATATCTTCCATGTGACAGTTGCTAGCTAAAGACTGCGTTTGGACAGCTTAATGATGGGGGAGGGTTGCCTTGTCAACTTCCTGCCAGTTGAGATCAGCAGATTGTCACAGCTGATGGCTCAGTGACAGACGGCTGCATAGTGCGTTGTCCGTATGACAGTTGACAGCCAAAGACTAGCCTATATAACGTACACGTGCGTGGACGAATTTGTGTGAATTTTGTGGATCATGCAGACACATTGATGCATTAGGTGTTGTGACACACTTACCGGGTTGAAAATAAGGAAGCGGCACAGCAGGTCAACAGCTTCGTGCGTCGCTTGACTGGACAGCGTATACAAGGCACCTAGGGACGGTGGTTTGTGGGCAGTCCTCAGCATATGCACCCTCGCACCCTCGCACGCTGACGTCATGTCCTCCAGGGGTGGCGTCCCAAGCAAGTCTGTTATCAACTCCAGCTGCGCAGACACAAACAACAACGTCAGTGGTACGTGGTATTAATAATATTATTATAATGAGCTATAGTATTATGAGCACATGCACGTACCTCTGAAAGCTCTTGAAGGCAGCAGAATGAGGGTTAATGCAGAGAGGCACACCGTTGCCCTGATGCAGGTTGCTGATGAACTTGTTCACTCGCTCTGCAACGAATTACAGTCCATTACAAGCTGCTGCAGTAGATTGCACCACACGTCACACCAACTCACCACAAATTACTAATCTGTCATCAACGTTACCACTGTTGAGCTCATTTTAATTAATTGAATGTGCCTAGTCTACGACTAACATTTACTGCAGTCATTAACGATGTTACACTTTAGCTCCAATTTTCTGGTTAGATCGTACAATAAATTTCCAGTTCCACAAACAAGTCCTTTTAATATATATTTTTCTTATACCGGTATTTATAATGAAGCAATTCGTACTTTATTTTTAATTACCAATCGTAACTATACATTGGTCATTATTATCCACATGCTCACGTCCCCAGACTCAGATACACACATCCGGATGCCATACCCGACCCTACGTCGCATCACTCTCTATCACCTTCCAACCTCCGTTACTCCCCCTCTCCCCGAGTTCGCTCAATGCGAGAACGTTCACACCCATACTCAAAGTCACGTACGCACACACCGTGAGCTGCTTGTACGCTGCGTCGTGCTGCCATCTACCGGCGGTGAACCGCGGCTCGCATGCAAACACTGACAAAGGTTCAGTAGCCGGCCAGGGTTAGTATTT